TCGTACCTAGTAGCCAGAACGCACTTCTCAGCCTACTATTCAAGGCCCGATTTGCCTAATAAGCCAAGTTTTCCTGAAATAATATATTTACTATAATTTTTTTCTTATGAAATGATAAAGCAACCCTTTTCTCTATGTATGAGGTCAATTTTTTTTTATTGGAGTTAAAATTAACGTAGATATATGACCGAACCTAACCAACCCTACCTAACCTAACCTAACCTATATTTATAGGTAAGGTTAGGTTAGGTAGCCAAAAAAAGCTAGGTTAGGTTAGGTTAGGTAGGTTAGGTAGACGAAAAAACATTAATTCATGAAAATTTGGCTTATTAGGCAAATCGGGCCTTGAATAGTAGGCTGAGAAGTGCGTTCTGGCTATTAGGTACGACATATATATATATATATATATATATATATATATATATATATATATCGTACCTAGTAGCCAGAACTCACTTTTTGGCCTACTATTCAAGGCCCGATTTGCCTAATAAGCCAAGTTTTCCTGAATTATTATATTTTTTCTAATTTTTTTCTTATGAAATGATAAAGCTACCCATTTCATTATGTATGAGATCAATTTTTTTTTTATTGGAGTTCAAATTAACGTAGATATATGACCGAACCTAACCAACCCTACCTAACCTAACCTAACCTATCTTTATAGGTTAGGTTTGGTTAGGTAGCCGAAAAAGTTAGGTTAGGTTAGGTTAGGTAGGTTAGGTAGTCGAAAAACAATTAATTCATGAAAACTTGGCTTATTAGGCAAATCTGGCCTTGCATAGTAGGCTGAGAAGTGCGTTCTGGCTCTTAGGTACGACATATATATATATATATATATATATATATATATATATATATATATTAGTGTGTGTGTGTGTGTGTGTATATATATATATATATATATATATATATATATATATATATATATATATATATATATATACACACCATGCACACCGTGAGACATGTTACTCATGGTGTATACATACACTATGCGCAGTTTAAGGGTTAAGGGTTCTGTTGAATCCAGATGCTTGAGTGGCTGGAGCATGTTCCATCTTCCAATATTCTTATTTGCTCCATTGCTCCCTAAAAATGTGGGTAAATGGCAGCTTTATGAACTGAGATCTGAGATCTCATACCACGTATTACAGATCTTTCATACCAAGACCATGTCCCTCATGGCCTGGAACTTTGACTGGTAACATTGTATCTGGCAACATACTTCCATCATACTGTGCTAACCACCTCCACACATGGCTGGCACCTGTTTCCTTAGATACTGTAGTAATGATGCCTGACTCTGTTCATGTACCTGGACTCTCTGAAGCCCTTATGACAGAAGACCTCAGGGCTCATAACCATTTGGCAGCCATTTTGCATGTCTGGGCAGCTGTAGAGCTATTCTCTGATCAGCTTAATGATGGCTTGGATGTAATAGCATCTATCTCTGGTGGCAACCTTGTTGCCTGTGGTCCTTGCTTCAGCGATGTCACCCAGTTTGCTCAATTCCCTCCTTCTCCGGGAGGCAGTGGTGGTTTTTTACTTGGCCCCCTCGTGTGTTGACAGGCTGTGCTGGCCCAGTCCTTAAAGTTGGTCTGATCCTTAACCCTTTTGTCTGATTTGAGCTTTTTGTGTCTCCTTCCTGAAGAGGCTTTCTCTGCTGTCATCTCGTGGTAGATTCCTTTAGGCTGGACTGGTCAGGGTGAAGGTTCCTCTGTCTCTTGCCTCCATTTCAGTTGTTGCTGTGGGTGTTGTCCAAGATGGAAATGTAGTTGGGCTAAGGGATTCTTCTGGCTCTTCTGGCTTGGAGGGCAAATCAAGGCATTTGGCCGTGTCTCTGCTTCTTTCAGTGGATTGTCCTGGCGACATACTTGGTTCACTAGAAAACTACATTGACTATAATGAAATCCCTCTTTCTGGTAGTATTGGTGGGCTTCCTGACTCAATCCCATCCCCTCTTCTAGGGGTATTAGTTCACTGCCATATTAGCTCCAGACTGACCAGAAGTTTGGAGTTCCTGGCACTTGAGTTTTGTTTCGAGTGAACCATTCACAGTTGTTTGTATTTCTTCACTTCCTGGATGCTTTCTCAATTTGGATGATCGTAATGAATGATCATAATGAATAAGTAGGGGCCCAATTCTGCCTCCAGTCTGATAGACCAACAAGACTCCTATATGTGATGTAACTCAGTATGGAAAGCCATCTCATTGAGATGGCTTCAAGGAGCCACTAGGACTACCACAAAGAAGCATTTCATTATATTCAACATCGGTCTTTGAAATTCTTGTTTTGTTAAACTTGCAGCCCTCAGTCTCCCCAAGAGCCAGGACACTACTAATAGCTTGGGTTGAAAAGGCCACATTTGCCTTAAATACACGAGTACTTTACCAAAGTTTCTTACAGAGAAATATACTGTCTTCTGCAGTACTTTCCAAGCATTCATAAATTCTCATTACCCTATGGACTCTGATCTCATGCCTGCCAACCCATGAAGGTGGGGAAGAGTATGCTTTTATTTTACTAATAATGTGTGTATATGTATAGCATAACACACAAGTACCAACGTATTCCCCTCAATCATCCACGGCAACACGCCACTACTTCACAAGACTAAATGTGCAGTGCTCCTCATGAATTGTCCAGCCCGTTCTCAGAGTAAATCCATTAGACAGACATCAACAGCCCTCTCAAACCACCTGGATAGTTAGTTATCTAGATATTTGTAATAGTCTAAAAGCATATTATTGTTCCTAAAATAGTCTACTTGTAAACTGGCAAGTGAACCTTTCCCCTAAACAGAATAGTCTCAAGTTATAACTTCATTGTATTATAAATACAGTGGAACCTCGAATTACGAATTTAATCCGTTCCGGCGCCGTGATTGTCATGTGAAACGGACGTCATACAAAACGAATGTCCCCATTGACAATAATGGAAATCAAATTAATCTGTTTTACCACCGAAAAACATCAATATGACATTCGATGTTTTAAATAATGGAGCAGCCTACCTTACATACACGGAACAAACCTTTGACATTTTTCTTTCTTCAAATTTGCTCAATATTTTTTTATTTGCCTGATAGCAAAAGTTTGTTTAGTGTTCGGCAGGTAGGCTGCTCCATGTTTCTTAAATAACAAAAAACATTAAAAATTTTGAAAAACAGAACAAATGTCAAAAAGTTTCGTTCAGTAGTCGGCAGATAGGCTGCTCCATGTTTCTTAAATAGAAAAAAAACAAAAAACAAAAAAAGGGTTGAAACTACAGTATTTGAAAAATGGACAAATGCCACAAAGGTTCGTTCAGTGTTTGTCGAGTAGGTTGCTCCATTATCGCAATCTTTTTGTTTCAAATGTGTTCCATTTGTTTTGTACTTTTCATTTACGTCTCAATAATGGAGCAGCCTACCCGACAAACACTGAACGAACCCTTATGGCATTTGTCCATTTTTCAAATTGTTTCAACTGTTTTTTTTTTTATTTAAGAAACATGTAGCAGCCTACCTGCCGACCACCGCACGAACCTTTTTGACATTTGTTGTATTTCAAAAAATTTCATTTCTTTTTTCTACAAAAAAGTCAATGCTTTGCAACATCTCATCAGTCACCTCTTTATATCCCAGCATCATTAGCATCTTTAAACAAGAACAACATAATTTATTTGCATCGTCGGAGGCGTCCGAGACTGTGCAAGAAGCGGCGCGACCCCACCGCCGTTATTCAAACGAGCAGTCGCCATACGAGACGAATTGTCGGCGATCAGGCCAGTCGTTACCCAAAATGTTCGCCATTTGAGGCGAGCGTTATTCGAGGTACCACTGTAGTTGGTTTAAAATATAAAAAGTATATTTTGAACTCGTTTTCTTTGAAATAGTCTGAAGAATTTGGTTTTCTGTAAATTTAATTCTAGGGTACAATCATAGTTTTCGAGTTTGATATTTCTCATCTATGTCAGTAATATTTTATTAACACAACGAGATCTAATGCAACCAAATTTTAACCTGACCGGACGTTAACTAAACCATGGATAGTGTGTGAATAATAGCACTAATTAAGTTGAGGTTTTGATCTATTACCTCCACAGAATCTCTGCCCTTTGTGCAGGTTGGAATTGTCATGTAGTACAAACAACTCCCTCCCTTACAACACTTTAACTCATTGCACACAGTATTGTCCCCTTCCCTTGTCTAGTTTGATGTTTATACTTTATCCCCCACTTCTAACATAATCACTATAAAGGTGATTATGTTAACCCCTTCCTCCCCAGGAGCATCAAGTTCAACATCGTGAAACCATCATGGAACACTTTTCAATCTTGGAGTTTATTAACTCTTTCTGCATTCTGCATAACCGACATTTTCATTCCTCATGCTGTAGTGTACTGTAGTTTATCATAACACCTGGCATGCTTCTTGCTGTCCATTTTTATTCGTCTAATTCATGAAATTTCCTATTAATACCACATTATGCCACATCATTCATAAATTATACCTGAAACGCACTGTGTATTTGTGGCTATATATAATATATACTGGGTTCCTGAGAATACATCACTGTATTATGTCTAATGTATGTTATATACATGGAAAGAGAAACGATTATTTTTGTTACGTTAGTAACAGCCCAACCCTCTACTGCTGCTCGAGGCCTGTGTCTGCATCTGCCCTTAACCCTTACACGTTAAGGGTTACATATCAGTATCAGCAATTCACAGCCTTTGAGCTCATTGTCATGTGCCAATGATCCTTATGTGTTTTCAATGCTTGTATATTTTCATGTACACCATGATGTAGAACTTTTAAATAAAAACAGCAGCTTAAGGGAAAAAATAATGTTTTCTTACCATGGCTTTAATTGTAGAAGTTACTGTACTTGTATTCCCAGATGTGTCGTACTCATCACTTAACTTGCACAAATTCCTCATTTATTGACAACATAGCTAAAGTACTTATGCACTTGCCTCACTCAATGCTACAGTGCTATCTACTTTCAGACAATCTGAGCAGAATGCAGATAAAGAAGGCTATGAAGTGTTTGCTGAGAAAGTGAGCATCGATGCCGGATTCCCAGTTACTAGTTTAGCCTTTGGCACTGGCACTCCCGAACAGGATTTGGTTCCTGTGAAGAGAGAGTACTGGACACGATTTGACTTCTCAAAGGATCTGATCCTTGCAACAGGTCACAACAATGGCCGGATCAGAATCTGGGACCCATACACAGGTAAAATATACTTATTTTTAGATGTATGTACAGTATAATTGTTTTATCCTAGGAACAGTCAGACTTTGATTACTGCTCTATCCATGGTCGGATAGGAGCCGGTTGGCCGAGCGGACAGCATGCTGGACTTGTGATCCTGTGGTAGCAGTAAAACAGGTACCTGGGTGTTAGTCAGCTGTCACAGGCTGCTTCCTGGGGGTGGAGGCCTGGTCGAGGACCGGTCCGCGGGGACACTAAAGCCCCGAAATCATCTCAAGATAACCTCAAGATGGTGGTAGAGACTGCATGCTTCAATGACTTGCGAAGCAGTTTGGTTTTGTAGTAAAATACCCACCTTGTCCTTCAGTATTGTTGTCTTAGTAGTTCAGTGCACCTTCACATCTGGATCATGTCGTTCTAAACCAAATCTGGATAAGTGTGTAATTGGGATTAAAAAAAACTAGATTTGCAACTTTTTTTCTTTCCAAATTTTGTTCATGACTTGATTTAAATGAAACATGTTTGTGCATATTTAGACACACAAATTATATTTGAAGAAGATTTTGTGTGCATAATGGTAAAAATAACTTTGCAAACAAAAATAGTGTACTGTATTACATAAATGTTTATAAATGATCCTTTTATAACACATGCTTTATAAGGGTAGTTGTCAACATGCAGTTATAACAAGGTTTAACTTGTGTTGTCAGGGACAGGTAGCCTGTGTATAGTGATTATGCTTCAGGCTTGTATCAAGGTCCACCCCTCCTCCTAAGGGTCGAACTACCGACCCTCCCCAGGATGGGTGAACAGAGACATTAGGTTTAAGGAATAAGGAAATGTGACCAATCATTTCTGCCTCACCCGGGGATTGAAGCCAGGATTCTCAATCCAGTCAAGAATGCAGCCACTGTACTACAGACATACGTTATTCTTTCTCTTATACATCAGCAGGCATTGTGAACCCTCGGTGCCCAAGATTCGTGCCATTTTGTCTGCTACGTGCTCTAGCGCCCGAAACGCTATGCGTGTTAGTGGCTTTGCAACAATGTAAGAATACCAAACTTATGTACTCTCACAACCCAATGTCCCTTTTTGTATGTAAATAATAGAAGTGCTACGTAGATCACCGATAAACAGTATTGTCCAAGTAATCAAAGAGTACGGTACTTGAAAATATGATGTTTCTATGTCAATATTGCCACCATTGCTCTCCCTTTTACTTACAAACTGCATGATCTGTTTCCTTTGCTTCATGTCAGACAAAGCACCGGTGCTAATGTCATGCTCCTCGGCCAGTCTTATGACACTTGAGCCATGATTGTTTCCCCTGATAGCTTGGCATTCTTAAGTGTATACACCTGTCCTTCCTGCCACACACCTGTCCTGCCCACCACACCTGTCCTTCCTGCCCACCACACACCTGTTCTTCCTGCCCACCACACACCTGTCCTTCCTGCCCACCACACACCTGTCTTTCCTGCCCACCACACACCTGTCCTTCCTGCCACACACCTGTCCTGCCCACCACACCTGTTCTTCCTGCCCACCACACACCTGTCCTTCCTGCCACACACACCTGTCCTTCCTGCCACACACCTGTCCTGCCCACCACACCTGTTCTTCCTCCCCACCGCACACCTGTCCTTACTGCCCACCACACACCTGTCCTTCCTGCCACACACCTGTCCTGCCCACCACACACCTCTCCTGCCCACCACACACCTGTCCTTCCTGCCACACACCTGTCCTGTCCACCACACATATCTCCTGCCCACCACACACCTGTCCTTCCTGCCACACACCTGTAATGCCCACCACACCTGTCCTTCCTGCCCACCACACCTGTCCTTCCTGCCCACCACACCTGTCCTGTCCACCACACCTATCCTGCCCACCACACACCTGTCTGTCCTGCCCACCACACACCTGTCTGTCCTGCCCACCACACACCTGTCTGTCCTGCCCACCACACACCTGTCTGTCCTGCCCACCACACCTGTCCTTCCTGCCCACCACACCTGTCCTGCCCACCACACCTGTCCTGTCCACCACACCTGTCCTGCCCACCACACACCTGTCTTTCCTGCCACACACCTGTCCTTCCCACCACACGCCTGTCCTGCCCAACACACGCCTCTCCTGCTCACCACACACCTGGCCTTCCCACCACACACACACACCTGGCCTTCCCGCCACACACACGCCTGGCCCTCCCGCCACACACACGCCTGGCCCTCCCACCACACACACGCCTGGTCCTCCCGCCACACACACGCCTGGTCCTCCCGCCACACACACGCCTGGTCCTCCCGCCACACACACGCCTGGCCCTCCCACCACACACATGCCTGGCCCTCCCACCACACACATGCCTGGCCCTCCCACCACACATGCCTGGCCCTCCCACCACACACACGCATGGCCCTCCCACCACACACATGCCTGGCCCTCCCACCACACACATGCCTGGCCCTCCCGCCACACACACATGCCTGGCCCTCCCGCCACACACACACCTGGCCCTCCCACCACACACACGCCTGGTCCTCCCGCCACACACACGCCTGGCCCTCCCGCCACACACACGCCTGGCCCTCCCACCACACACATGCCTGGCCCTCCCACACACACATGGGAGGGATGATGGGCCCTCCCATCACACACATGCCTGGCCCTCCCACCACACACATGCCTGGCCCTCCCACCACACACATGCCTGGCCCTCCCACCACACACACGCCTGGCCCTCCCACCACACACACGCCTGGCCCTCCCACCACACACACGCCTGGCCCTCCCGCCACACACACGCCTGCCCTCCCACCACACACACCTGGCCCTCCCACCACACACACACCTGGCCCTCCCACCACACACACGCCTGGCCCTCCCACCACACACACACCTGGCCCTCCCACCACACACACACACCTGGCCCTCCCACCACACACACGCCTGGCCCTCCCACCACACACACAGCCTGGCCCTCCCACCACACACACGCCTGGCCCTCCCACCACACACACACCTGGCCCTCCCACCACACACACACCTGGCCCTCCCACCACACACACGCCTGGCCCTCCCACCACACATGCCTGGCTCTCCCACCACACACACACACCTGGCCCTCCCACCACACATGCCTGGCCCTCCCACCACACACACGCCTGGCCCTCCCACCACACATGCCTGGCCCTCCCACCACACACACGCCTGGCCCTCCCACCACACACACACCTGGCCCTCCCACCACACACACACCTGGCCCTCCCACCACACACACACCTGGCCCTCCCACCACACACACACCTGGCCCTCCCACCACACACACACCTGGCCCTCCCACCACACACACGCCTGGCCCTCCCACCACACACACGCCTGGCCCTCCCACCACACACATCTGGCCCTCCCACCACACACACCTGGCCCTCCCACCACACACACCTGGCCCTCCCACCACACACACACCTGGCCCTCCCACCACCCACCTGGCCCTCCCACCACACACACGCCTGGCCCTCCCACCCACACACATCTGGCCCTCCCACCACACACATCTGGCCCTCCCACCACACACACCTGGCCCTCCCACCACACACACGCCTGGCCCTCCCACCACACACACGCCTGGCCCTCCCACCACACACACGCCTGGCCCTCCCACCACACACACGCCTGGCCCTCCCACCACACACACGCCTGGCCCTCCCACCACACACACGCCTGGCCCTCCCACCACACACACGCCTGGCCCTCCCACCACACACACGCCTGGCCCTCCCCCACACACACGCCTGGCCCTCCCACCACACACATGCCTGGCCCTCCCACCACACACACACCTGGCCCTCCCACCACACACACGCCTGGCCCTCCCACCACACACACACCTGGCCCTCCCACACACACACACCTGGCCCTCCCACCACACATGCCTGGCCCTCCCACCACACACACACCTGGCCCTCCCACCACACACACACCTGGCCCTCCCACCACACACATGCCTGGCCCTCCCACCACCACATGCCTGGCCCTCCCACACACACATGCCTGGCCCTCCCACCACACACACACCTGGCCCTCCCACCACACACACGCCTGGCCCTCCCACCACACACACACCTGGCCCTCCCACCACACACACGCCTGGCCCTCCCACCACACACACGCCTGGCCCTCCCACCACACACATGCCTGGCCCTCCCACCACACACACGCCTGGCCCTCCCACCACACACACGCCTGGCCCTCCCCCACCACACACACGCCTGGCCCTCCCTGGCCCTCCCACCACACACACACCTGGCCCTCCCGCCACACACACCTGGCCCTCCCGCCACACACACACCTGGCCCTCCCGCCACACACACACCTGGCCCTGCCACACACACACCTGGCCCTCCCACCACACACACACCTGGCCCTCTCACCACACACACACACCTGGCCCTCCCACCACACACACGCCTGGCCCTCCCACCACACACATGCCTGGCCCTCCCACCACACACACGCCTGGCCCTCCCGCCACACACACGCCTGGCCCTCCCGCCACACACACGCCTGGCCCTCCCGCCACACACACGCCTGGCCCTCCCGCCACACACACGCCTGGCCCTCCCCCCACACACACGCCTGGCCCTCCCGCCACACACACGCCTGGCCCTCCCACCACACACACACCTGGCCCTCCCACCACACACACGCCTGGCCCTCCCACCACACACACGCCTGGCCCTCCCACCACACACACACCTGGCCCTCCCACCACACACACGCCTGGCCCTCCCACAACACACACACCTGGCCCTCCCACCACACACACGCCTGGCCCTCCCACCACACACACGCCTGGCCCTCCCACCACACACACGCCTGGCCCTCCCACCACACTCACGCCTGGCCCTCCCACCACACACACGCCTGGCCCTCCCACCACACACACGCCTGGCCCTCCCACCACACACACGCCTGGCCCTCCCACCACACACACGCCTGGCCCTCCCACCACACACACGCCTGGCCCTCCCACCACACACACGCCTGGCCCTCCCACCACACACACACCTGGCCCTCCCACACCACGCCTGGCCCTCCCACACGCCTGGCCCTCCCACACACACTCCCACCACACACACGCCTGGCCCTCCCACCACACTCACGCCTGGCCCTCCCACCACACTCACGCCTGGCCCTCCCACCACACACACGCCTGGCCCTCCCACCACACACACGCCTGGCCCTCCCACCACACACACGCCTGGCCCTCCCACCACACACACGCCTGGCCCTCCCACCACACTCACGCCTGGCCCTCCCACCACACTCACGCCTGGCCCTCCCACCACACTCACGCCTGGCCCTCCCACCACACTCACGCCTGGCCCTCCCACCACACACACGCCTGGCCCTCCCAATGTCCGATACAGTAGTCACACTAGCAGAATGGAAACGGGAAATTTTAATTGAAGTGGTATTCCCAAGGTGCTACTAAGTTTGGAGTCATGATAGGAAAGATAGGGGGGTCATTGCTTTGCTGGTACTGTAAAACAACAACTAAAATTGGAAGAATTAATACTCAACAACCCTCCGGTCACCTACACCAGTCTCCGTGGTGTAGTGGTATGACACTTGCCTGGTGTTCCGCGAGCGCTTTGTCATGGGTTCGTATCCTGGCCGGGGAGGATTTACTGGGCGCAAATCCTTAACTGTAGCCTCTGTTCAACTCAACAGTAAAATGGGTACCTGGTTGTAAAAACGATTCTTCGTGGGGGGTCGTATTCCAGGGACCTGCCCGAAACACTACGCGTACTAGTGGCTGTACGATGTAACAACTCTTGTATATATCTCAAAAAAAAAAAAAACGATATGTTTAAATAATGACACTGGAGATTTGTAACTGGATAAACAAGCTGATGATCATTACTGCCTACAGTCCATCAGCAAACGTCACTTGGACCTCCGAACTTCGTATTCTGCAACAAATGCCTGGACCTGGACTTAGTGCAACAAATACTTTTCAAAGACCCTTACAAATGGAGAACAAAGCAGACATTAGAAAAGTCAAATATTTCCAGTTTACAAAAATGGTATGACAGCCCCTCTAAAGAACCCATATCATTGGCAAGTGTGGTAATCAAGTCATTCGAGAATGTAATTGAAGTCAGATTGGTGGAATACTAGATGAGAAATTACGTAACAATGGACAGTCGAAACTGCTTTTGAAATGTAAGATTCTCTATGACAAATCTACTTTGCTGTTGTGATACAGCCAAGTAGAGTACAAGTTGGGTATTTGAAGATTGGCAGTGCTAGAAGCAAATTGTATTCTGATTGAATAAACTCTAGAGTAGTGGCACTGTGATATTTACCTAACTATAATAACTGTTGATGGTTGAATAGAAATGAATGAAACAGAAGTTGTTGGAAATACTGTACAGAGGAAGAGTTTTGACCCATGTTGCCTCATCTCAGAAATGGAGTAAAAAAAATAGTTATCCCTAAGTTAATTTCAAGTAATTTTAACATGGAAAAAAATTTCAACATGAGATTTCATTTCAGGAAAGTTACTATTGGAGCTGACAGACCACATGAAACCTGTGACGGACCTTGCCTTTGCTCCAGATGGCTCCCTTAGGCTGGTCTCGGCCTCCAAGGATTGGACCATTAAGGTTTGTCCCCAGTTTTATGGATTACTTTTTTTTTTCTTAATTTCACAAATTGCCATGTATAAAGCAGCTTTAGTCTATTGCCAAATTCTTTAGTCATATTGCAAGCATAAGTTTTTAATTCTATATGCTAGTTATCCTCGGGTAATTATAAGTGTAGTGGGTTATTTTTTAACATGTTCAGTACATGTTCCGTGGCAGCAGCTTGAATCACTACTTACGTTGCAGTGTAGTCCTAATTTGCAATGCTTCAGAAACTGCACAAAGGTTTTATACAATTTCATTATTGAGCTGTCACTCAAATGTTTTAATGTAAACACTATAAAGTAATGTTGCTTTGCATTGGTTGAGGGATGGCCTAGTTTATGACGTATTTACTCTAAGCTATGAAAAGTCTTAATTTCCATGTACTGTATACTGGACATTGAATGGCATTATCACTTTTGTTGCAAACTTTAACACCAACAGTATGACACTGTTGGTGAAAGCAAGCACTTTACACCAAGCTAGATTTTCTGCACTAATTGATTTTGTAAAAATCAACATTTACTCTTAAAAATAATAATAATAATTAATTCCTATGTTTTTGGATAGGAATGAAAGAAGTGTTGTCATTGGCAGTGTAAAGTGGTTGCCTGTTGCTAATGCTCTTGCACTGACTGCTCTTCCCCCCTACAGGTGGCCCCGCGGGACAGAGACGACCGCCTGGCCATCTAACTCTTGTGCCCTTGTTTTGAAACCCCTGCGTGGCTGTGTAGTGTATGTCTGGGGTTGTAAATTGCTTGTGTTGCCTTTCAGAGTCACAGAACTAATATTTTGACTTTGAAAAGGTATGATAATGTTAGAATATTTAGGTAGATTACATGTTGCATATTAACTTAAATGGTTCAGTTTGTGGTGTATAGTAGCCTCATCTTGTCAGGATCTGTTGATACCAGCTTTATTGCTTAAAAAAGACAATGTAGATAACAAAAAAATAGAATACAGAATCAGAATACATTGTTAGGGAAACTAATTAAAGTATGAATTTGTGGGAGCAGAACCATCCCAAACCATAAAGTAGCGACAAATTAAACGGCTAGCGTACATGGGCAAATATTAATATATCTTCGATCACATACCCATAATTGAGCTCGTTCTTTGCCAACCCACATATTCTAATTTTAATTTTGATTAACCTTTAGTGAATAAGAATGTTGTTGAAAAGGATGTGCGTGGTTTGAGTGGTGTTACGTTCTTGCGCAGGTGTGGGACATGTCTGATGACGGCAACATGTTTAAGACCCTGAGGGAGCACCCAGGACCCATTAGAAGCCTGTGTTGGTCTCCTGATGGGAAGTACCTGTGTTCCACTGGAGACAAGCAAAAGGTTAGTGACTGTGATGAGAAATGTTTTCTTCTTGAGACGACAAAGTTGGTAGCACTGGAAGCGTTGTTGCTTTTCATGGGGGGGGGGGGAGAGGTGCACCATAAATTATAAATTGTGAAACCTCTTTCCCCTAGGCAGGAAATGGGCGATTAGTTTAAGATTTAAGAAACACACACAAAACATATACAAAAGATGTCACTGATGTCATAATGCTCATACCGGTACAAGTTTTAGGTCGTACTGGGACGAGCAGAACTTGATTAATGTTGGGGCCAAGACCCAGGCAAGGAACAAAGAGCTCATGATTTGTGTTAGGGCTGTGTTTGGGAAAATGGTGTAAATCTTGGCCAAAGCAAACTAAGCATATTAACCATCGTGCTGCGCCGAGTTTGTGAATTCCCCGTGTGCATGAAAGTGTTCCCAAAAAATTCTTTTTTCTTCGTAAAATGATAAATTCCCTTCCCTGAACATGTCTATGTAAAGATAAATACCAAATTCCACTTAATTTGGTTGTGGGGACATGGACAAAGTGCACTGTGACGTCATTAGGGGCTGGTCGCCCGTGCCTGACCTGCCCAGACACGGTCGCGTGAGCCATCCAAGCACTGGGTGTTGCCACAAATATATTTTCAATTATTTGTTCTATGTATTTCCAATGCGGTTTTACTTGTTAAAATTCACTAAAATTACAATATGTACAGTTTCACACACTATTTACACAGTAACACACTGTATTACACACTCAGTACTTTGGAAGTGAGTAATAATCAACGAAGTAGTCCATGGTACACAGCGCGACTTCACTCCCAGTGCACCAGTTACAGATAGATTTTCGCTTCCTGTTTCTTCGTTCTGTGTGCTTGCAAATAATGCACTCATGTACACCCTTGGCATTAGTACCTGTAGGTGGTATGTAGCCAAGCTTGTGATGCATAAGGTAGTCTTGAAAATATTATAGGAAAAGATCAATTTGTAAGGTAGTCATGAAAAGATTGCTTTGTAAGGTCCCACACAGGAAGAGATTCAGCCAGCCTCAAAGAGTGTCAGTCAGTCAAGAAGAGATTCAGCTATTCTTGAAAATATCTATGGAAAACACCACCATGGAAGCCGCTAACACTGTTCATCTATGCTACTTGTATCAGATGCATCATCACTGAATGCAGAAAACAATTGACCTATGTATCATCTATATAAATTGGAGATAGCATAGGTGGGCAAGGGTGGCACTCAGAGTTACAACTGGATAGCTAGCTGTATCGTCTTCATAGGTGCTGTATCACTTGCATCCGACCTTTGTGTTAGGTCCTTATTGCACCTAGCTTCACCAATATTATGACCCTTATGTTCTTCAAACAATAAGTTTGGAATTTCACCGACAGAGCAATTGTTCAAAACCTCGGACAGGTGTTTAGAAGCCAGAGGCACGTGAGCAACCCCGCATGGTTGCTCACTCGGCACTAACCCAGCCAGCAGCCATAGGGCATTCTGGGAATTTTTTCCAAGATGGCTGCCTCTCACTGGAGGTTCTAAGAGTCCATTTCATACACAACCAACTGCGCACACATTTAGAATGGGTACGAAAAAATCAAAGAGAGTTTTCTCGGTTGGCGCAGTTTCCCACTGACCGAGAATACTCGGTTGGTGCAGTTAAGTGGTTAATGTATATCTGGGGGGAAGGGTAAACAGGGGATATCTTCCACATATTTCTCATTCATCTATTTTCTATCCAGAAGGTGCATAATGTGCATAGAAAATATTGTTAGATTGGTACCCACTACTTGTGAAGAAAACAATAGTTGTGTAATTTGTTGGGTTGTTCCCAAGGTGAACTTGGATGATGGTCGTGATTGATGGCAATACTCCAAAGCATTTAAAAACTAATAATATAAGCATTGTGTGTCAAAAAGTTTCACTTCTCTCCCTGAGAAACTATTTAACCTTGTCACACACTAATACAAAAGTATTATACAGTATACCCACTTATATTTACTTACTGTATATTTCAAGGAAGTCTTTGTCAGTTTTGTTAAAATTTTAATGCAAATACTGTAAGAATATTTCGCAATATGATCAGTTAATTTCCAATGAAAGAAACATTTTTCTACTATTTAATAATGTGAAATTTATAGTGTTTGTTAAATTGTCATAAAATTTTATATTAGAAACACTGGAAAGAGGCATTCATGTCCATATCTAGTCTTCATTCTGGAAACAATGAAAATCCACTTAACCAGACTCGAGTATTTACAGATTTCTGAGTGATACTGGATGATAAACTGTTCTCTTGATTTGCCACAATGTACAAAATGCAGTGCCTTAACCTAGAGAGACATTCACACACATAAGCCACCTAACCTGACCTAACCAACCGATGCATAGAAAATATTCTTTGTCGGCCATTTTTTTTCTACCACAGACGTGGCCACACATTTACAATGCTAATCAGCATATATACATTTTCTTCTGTCCTCCATGGACAGGGTGAGAGATCTGTTAAACATATAGTTCGGGGATTTATCGAACAATCAACCACAGAAAGTGAATGTAGTGCCTTTAAAATGCTAATGTAACCTACATACATCAACACAGATTTATGTCTGCCCTACATAAACAGTGTTTGATGTGTCTTTTACATAGTGTCATTAATATCAGCCACTACTTGTCATAGACTGCATTGCCTTTGGTACGTTGTCCATCATAACGCACCATTATGACATGCCACTTGAGAGGGCGGGCTGGTCTTCCGGATCTTGCCTGTATGAGCAGAGTTAAGAGCTTGTGGCATGCCAATTGTGTTGGCATATACTCTTGTCAAAATATATAAACAAATATAAATATTTGGCTCTTGGGAATAATTACTATATATTTTTTTTTTTTTTTTTTTTTGAGATATATACAAGAGTTGTTACATTCATGTACAGCCACTAGTACGCGTAGCGTTTCGGGCAGGTCCCAGGAATACGATCCCCTGCCGCGAAGAATCGTTTTTTCATCCAAGTACACATTTTACTGTTGCGTTAAACAGAGGCTACAGTTAAGGAATTGCGCCCAGGAAATCCTCCCCGGCCAGGATACGAACCCATGACATAGCGCTCGCGGAACGCCAGGCAAGTGTCTTACCACTACACCACGGAGATATATAAATATATATAGTGACACCTCGACTTATGATTGCCCCTACTTACGATATTTTTGAGTTACGATGTAAATTTGGTCGGAAAATGCGACTCGACTTATGAGCGTGTCGTCGACTAACGATATTCGTTGATGTGTGTTTGGGTTGACCTAGCGCATGGTTCCTGATGGCATGGACCAACCTGCCTCAGTTTACTAGAGCCGCCCGTTAGTGACGATCACGCTTGTAAGAAATTCCATTTTTTTTTTTTAACAGTATCGCTCGCTTTAGACACCGATCATGTCCATTTTGTTTCTCTTGAGTCCTAGCTGTGGACAGGACTCGTGTCCACTACAAAAATATTTGTATAAAATTCAATTTTTATCCGATCGACCTCGGGATAGTTTCAAAATAAGTGCCTGTAGAAATGCGCACAATTTGATACCAAAATGAAAGATGTGACACAAGACTTTATGTCAGAACACTTGAAAGATTATAAATACGTTTTTGGGTCTAAATTTTAAATTTTAAAATATTTGTTAAAATTCTATTTATTGTGCTATTATTATGGGTTCTATTTTTAAAATGCGCGCCTTTATTTTGCAAACAATTTGATACCAAAACGAGCGATGTAACATGAAAATTGATGTCAGAACACTGGAAAGATATAAATAATTTTGATGATGAGTGTCCAAAATTAAAATATTGGTTAAAATTTGAGTTATTGCTCTATTATTATGAGACTAGTTTTAAAATGTGTGCCTTTATATTGCAAACAATTTGATACCAAAACGAGCAATGTAACATGAAAATTGATGTTATCAAACTGAACGAGTATACACATTAGGTTGTGGTTACCTTACCTTGAGGTTACCTCGAGGTGCTTCCGGGGCTTAGCGTCCCCGCGGCCCGGTTGTCGACCAGGCCTCCTGGTTGCCAGGCTGATCAACCAGGCTGTTGGACGCGGCTGCTCACAGCCTGATGTATGAGTCACAGCCTGGTTGATCAGGTATCCTTTGGAGGTGCTTATCCAGTTCTCTCTTGAACACTTGTGAGGGGTCGGCCAGTTATGCCCCTTATGTGGTGTGCAAATTGGTGCTCGTTCACGGGTAATTTTAGGCTTTGCTGTGGGGAGTCTCGCCAGGCTTTTGGACATTATATGCATATACATCTGCAGGGAATTTAATTGAGAACACAATGATACCAAAACGAATGACGTAGTATGAGAATTAAGGTGAGAAAACTGAAACAAGTATACACATTTAGGCGTTGCTGCACGCTTGCCCGCACCATTAGCCCCATGACGTCAAAGTCTGCGGTGCTCACGTGGCGCGGGTGATAGTGTTAATTAATATAAAAGTAATTATTATATATCATGGGTCCCAAGAAAGCCAGTGGTAAGGTTCAAAACACATGTGAGGATGACCATAGAAGCCGTACAGAATGTCCCTTCCTCAAAAATTAAGAAAATATGTGCAGCATGGGAAGAACTGCAAACTTTTGTCAAAACGACACTCTCAATACAAACTGTAGTAGGCTGTTGCCCTAACCTTTTCTATGACACTGTGATGAACGAAGGGGAAAACAAAGCTTCATGGACAAATTTTTATTGAGACAAGCAGTGAACCGCAATCAGGTCTTAGTTGTATGCAGGTAAAATATAGGTGTGTGTGTGTGTACCCCAGAGAAGTCATCACTGCCTGATGTTATAATGGAAGGGGACTCCCCTTCCAAACAGTAAGCTGTCGCCAGAGGAACACATAAAGAACATTGTGAGAGGAACTTACACGTTGCTTTCCAACTTCAGATTTCCTTTTAATTATATGGATGGTGAAATACTAGAGAAACTTTTCATGACTTTTGTGAGACCAAAATTGGAATATGC